TGCTCCATCCCGTGGCTGTCAGAGCAGGGGATGGGGGAATCCGGATCGGGGTTTTGCTCTGATCCTACCTACATGCTTCCAGTGAATCTGGCTCCATGGAGATGGATTCCGGATCCGGGTTTTGCTGCCAGCCTGTGCCCCTCAGTGCAGAGGCATTGGCCAGTCCAGGCCTTGTCTCAGCCCAGCACACCGCGGACCCGGTTTCCTTGGGATCCAGATCCATGTTCTACTCCCGGAATCCAGGTTTTGCTCCCCCTCCCCAGTGCATTCCTGCAGACCATCCCGCTCTGATTGCAAAGGGATCCAGATCTGGATTTTGTTACCACCCTGGTGCTTTGGTCCAGATCCCCAGTGCACTTCTGGGGAGGAACCAGCTCTACCCTAAAGGGATCTGGACCTGGAGTCTCCCCCCCGCCCTCCCAGCCCCATGTTATCGCAGAGGTGGGTCAGACAGCTGGACCCGGATCCTACTCAAGAAATCTGGCTCCTGGACTCCATTCTCCATGGAGATCCTGCTCCGGGATTTCTTTCCAACCTCTGTATTAGCCACCAGCCTGGACTCCATTCTCCATGGAGGCCAACCCGCATATTAGACTGCTGGGATTGGAGTCCATTCCCCATTGGACTCCAGCTCCAGGCTTTCCTTCAGCGCGTGAATACCTCTGGTCTAAGCATTAATTTCCTCAATAATTATTATTATTATTATTATTTTATTATGACTAATGATAAGAAGAGGCCTAAAGCCCACAGCACATTCCACACAGACGTGCCAAGCAAAGTCTGGTAACTTATGTATTAATTAAACTGTTAAAGGATCATTGATAATGGATAAAAGATTTTTTGTAGGGTCGGAAGGGGACTGGCTGGCTCACAGGGGCGGGGAAAGGGACATGGGGCCTGTCCCCTCTAAGGGGCGCCGGCTCCCATCCCACCCCAGGACAGGGGACTGGCTGGGTCAGGGGGTGGAGAAGGGGACAGGGACTTTCCCCCTTGAGAGCCAGACGCTGGCCCTGGCTGTGGTGCAGGGACTGGGCCCCGGCCAATCCCTCCCCGTCCCATGTGGCAGCCAAACAAGCCTGGGTGTAATTATCTCCGGCTGCCAGCCCCGGCCCCCTGCAACATGAAACCCGCCTCCCCCGCCCACCCGGCGCAGCGTGGGCACGGCCAAAGGGCACCGGGTTTGTTTGCACAGCTTTGACTTTTTGGTCCAAATCTCTTCCAGCCTCCGCTCTGCCCTGCTAGCCCAGCCCTGCTCCCCCCCCGCTCTGCCGGTGCCCCTCACTCCCGACCCGCGGCCCCCTGCTGTCCCACTGCTGGGCTCCCTCCCCCTCTATTGCTGACCCTCAGTTTTGCCCTGTAGCCCCACGGCTGTTCAGAGCAGTGAATGACGTAAGCCCCTGACGTTAGCAGCCTGGGCTAAACTTCAGAGCTTAAAATGCTGGCCTTCCTGAGAACCGCCTCTGTTCTTCCATCCATAATCCCCTTTGGCTGAGAGCGCAGAGGGAGCTGGGAGCCAGGACTCCTGGGTTCTCTCCCCGGCTCTGGGAGGGGAGTGGGGTCTAGTGGTCAGAGCAGGGGTGGGGGACGGGGCTGGGAGCCAGGACTCCTGGGTTCTCTCCCCGGCTCTGGGAGGGGAGTGGGGGCTGGTGGATTAGAGCGGTAGGGGGTGGGGCTGGGAGCCAGGACTCCTGGTTCTGAGCTGAGGCGCTGGCGGGGGGCTCTGACTCCCCACGTGTCTCGATTTGGTCTCTCATCCCCCCTGCTGCGCTGAGTGGCTCTGTGAGCAATGGGAGAGTCAGTGCGTACTGAACATGCCACTGCATCCCGGGCCGGAGGCGAAGGCAGGGGCTGTGGAAATCCCTCAGTCGCCTTCCAGAGACCTGAGTGTTCCGGTGCAGTAAAAGGTCACAGATGCTGTGTATAAATTTACCACAGGGAGGGGTCAGGACTCCTGGATTCTCTCCCGGCTCTGGGAGGGGAGTGGGGTCTAGTGGTTAGAGCAGGGGGGCTGGGAGCCAGGACTCCTGGGTTCTCTCCCCGGCTCTGGGAGGGGAGTGGGGTCTAGTGGGTTAGAGCGGGCGGGCTGGGCTCATTCCCTGGTGCAGGGACTTAAGCGCCATACTGGGCTGGGCTGTGTCCCCGCAGTGAGATAATCCCCTGGCCCAGGGTGGTTTAAATATCGAAAGACGGGGATTAGTCGCCTTCCGTGACAGAGCTGAGGTGGGAACAGGGAGGGAGAACATCTGCCAGCCTCCTGGCGGGAACATCTGGATGGGGGCAGCACCCTGGGTGGTGGGAGGAGAAGCCAGCGTGCGCACCCCCATCCCATCCCCACCCCCCCGACAGTGACAAGCAGTGAGAGCTAGTCCCTGCCAAAGAGGACAAAGAACCCTCCTGAGATCAGGCACCCCCTTGTGCCAGCTGCTGTGCAGAACCCCTGAGTGCTAGCCCCCCTCATCCCACTCCCCTCCCAGAGCCGGGGAGAGAACCCAGGAGTCTGGGCTCCCAGCCCCCCCGCTCTGCTCTAACCCACTAGACCCCACTCCCCTCCCAGAGCCGGGGAGAGAACCCAGGAGTCCTGGCTCCCAGCCCCCCCTGCTCTAACCCACCAGTCCCCACTCCCCTCCCAGAGCTCGGGAAAGAACCCAGGAGTCCTGGCTCCCAGCCCCCCCAGCTCTAACCACTGGCTCCCACTCCCCTCCCAGAGCTGGGGATTGAACCCAGGCGTCCTGGCTCTAAAGCTTTAGCTCATCATGGGCCCGCCGGGTGTAAGCCTGCGCTGGCTGGCGACAGGCTGGGTGGGCCCGGAAGTTTCCCTGGCCTCGGGTTCCTCCTCACGTGTCTCTCCTCACGTCTGAACACAACCAGGTTTTTTAACCTCCCCTCACGGGTCGGGGGGCTCGAAAGCTTTTGCTCCTGTCTGTCGCTCTCCTCTGGCCTCTCTCCAGGGCGGCCACATCCCTGGCAGCTGAGGCCTTCCCAGGGCCGAGCCAAGGGGGCCAATGACCTCCCGTGGCCGCCACGCGCCGCTCCCGGGCCTGCAGCCCAGAACGCTCGTTAGCCGCCTTCTCTGCAGCTGCAGCCGGTTGACTCAGAGTGGCCCCCCTCTGGCCTTCACACCAGTCAACCAAAGGAAGCGGGGGGAGGGGGGCACGCTAGCAGCCGCTGGGGCTCCACCGGCCCAGCTCGGCAATGGTGCTCTGTCACCCTCGCGTGGCGGCCGGGGCCCCATGGCAGACGGTCCCCCAGCCGCAGTCCCGGCTTTCCACGGGCTTGTGTGTGACGGCAGCAGGGGGGTGAAACTGGCTGGTGCCTGGGAGGGGGTGGGGGGGTGCGGGGCTACGCTTGACTTCACGCAGTTCTGGCTTGCTCAGCGCGGTACAGGGCACCCCCTCACCGTGCCCTCTGGGCGCCTCCCCGGCTGGCACGGCGTTATCCTCGGCACAGCCCGGGCTGGGCGTGCTGCCCTTGCAGTCCGGGCTGGTCCCAGTGCCCCAGTGCGGCGCTAGGGGGCGCTGTGCTGCAGGGAGCAGGGCTCAGTAGGGGGCGCTCTCCCCTGGCAGTCAGGGCTGGCCCCAGTGCCCCAGTGCGGCGCTAGGGGGCGGGGGCTCAGCAAGGGGGGTGCTCTCCCCTGACAGTCTGGGCTGACCCCAATGCCCCAGCATCTGATCCCACACAGCAGGGTTCCCTATGGGGGCCGAGGTCGCTGTGGGAGCTCCCACTCCACCAAGGTAGAGGACTGGTTGGGGAGGAAAACTCCCACAGTGCACTTCTCCATCCTGTATTCTGGGGTGGGCAGGCAGGGACGGGCAGGCAGGCGTCCGTCAGTGCAGAGGAGAAGGCTGGCGGGGTGATGCGAAGACCGGGGGTCGATGCCCTGAGTGCAGGCGCATCCCTTAGGGTTAGCCCTTCAACGGCAGGTGTCGAACGCCTCTTGGCTTTGAAGAGCGTTAGGTGCCGAAGTGCCTTTGAGGCACTGGCCTTGGGCGTGCTTGTGCCTCAGTTTCCTCACTGACAAGGGAGGATGGCCCCGGGCAGGTCGCAGCCCAGATGCCGTGGCTGGGGAGCCGTATGGCCATTCCCTGCCTGCGTTTGGCCTGGCCGGATGAGCTGGTGGCTTGGGTGGGGTCGGACGACCTTTCCCTGGGCAAACGAGCCAGCCGACCGGCCGCTCATCCAGGGTGGGCCCGGATGGGAGCAGCTGTCAGCGTTGGCTGATCGAGCTCATGGAGGAAATAATGAAGCTGTGGCATCATCTGACCCCTGAGGGACAGGGCGGGGGGCTGGGGCGCGCCGCTGCTTGGGTTGGGTTCACATGAGCTAGGAACAGATGTTCTGGCGTTTCCTGCCCCGGGTGGGAAGGGCGAGCAGGGCTGAGCTGTGGGGGGCAGGGCTGGGAGAGCAGGGGGCTGTGAGTCGGGACTGAGGGGCACCAGCAGAGCTTTGGGGGTAGAGACCAGGGCTTTGGTCTGTGCTGCAGGGAGTGGGGCCGAGGCTCAGCAGGGGGCGCTCTCCCCTGGCGGTCAGGGCTGGTCCCAGTGCCCCAGTGCGGCATTAGGGGGCGCTGTGCTGCAGGGAGTGGGCGGAGCTCAGTCGGGGGCGCTCTTCCCAGCAGTCTGTGCTGTGGTTGCTCCACCCCAGAGGCAGCTGTGTTTGCACAATGGGCGAGCGCTGCCTGCAGGGGAGCAAGGCAGGGACGAATGTTAGGGGCTCAGTCTGTGGCACGGAGGGGGGTGCTCGGGGGACCAGGCCGCTCCGGGAGACAACAGGCCTTCCCGGGCAGAAACAGGCTAATGCAGCCCCTGCCAGATGTGCTCCCAGGCGTGACTGGCTGAGCATATGTCACCCTGACCCCAAGGGGATTGTTCTAACGAGATTGGCCTGTAACGAGCAGGGCTTATCCAGCCCTGCGCGATTAGCCACCAATCGGCTTAGAGACAGGCCACTTGGCTGCTTGGTCAGCTGTGTGGGCCCTGCGTATCAG